GCCCGCCTTCGCGCCTCAGGCTCCGGCCGACGGCCGCACCCGCCGGAGCTGGCGCGTCATCCCCAGGGCAGGGGCAGGGCCAGGGATCCCGCCAAAACTCAGGCGCGCCCTTGCCTCCTGCGTGGCAGGGTGGTCGGCGGAGGCCTGAGACGCGGCTCCTTCAGGAGCCCAGGGCCGAGCAGCAGGCCGGTGGGCTCGGCTTGGCAGCCGTGTCCAACCAACTAACTCTGGATTTGTTCGGAGTTGACCCAAAACTTTCTATTTTCTATTTTCAGAGCTCTTCCTCCCATCCCCTCTCCAAAGGCTGGGTTAGACAGTAAGATGCTTTGTATGTGGAAAAAAATTATTTGGTTGTACTTCGTTTCTGACCATAACTTCTAAAAAAGTGTCAGTTTCTGCTCAAAAGCATGTTGAAAGTAAACATTTTGAATTCTTAATAGAAACGCGAAGGTACCATCTGCTATTTAATCCTACTTTGCAAAGAGGACAAGTCGATTCAAAACACTTTTTTTCTGGCAAGTTACCGGCCTGTCATGTTGGCGACAGACCTGCGGTGTGTCTAGGTTTAAAGGGGGGACTGAGTTTCAGACTACAATAGAAGAAATGCACACAGACATGCAATTAAATGCTGGTTTTATGTTGTACCTTCTATTTCCAGTACTTCTGTTTCTAAACTTTTGTGGCTAACTTGTTTTTGAAGCTGCAGCACCAGTTTCTGCAACTGATCTTTTTGCCTTTTTTCCTCAGATCTTCATCAATTCTCCAGCAAACATTACCAGTTTGCTGTCAGCCGACTGGTGAGCGCTAGTGCAAAGCTGAATCATGGGGCTCCCGCATCCAGCACTCCCTCCTTCCTGGAGTGGCTGGAGTTGGACTTGCCTGGTAACAAGCACTTGGAACAAATACTGATCCCTGCTGAAGTCTGATATTCAGCAGTCTTTGTTTTCTGAATTGACTGTTCTGTTGCTTCCTTTTTTATACACTTCAATTTTTAATTCAGAAAGTGATTCTTATTGAAGAACCTAATGCAGAAGGGCTTCATTAGTCAGGATGGCATATGAGTGAGATCTCTCTGAAGACAAATCTGAGTTGACAGAACATTTCAAACAACTGTTTGAATTCTTTCACCAAAGAATATACCTTTGCAAGTCAAGACAAATCTCCGATAAGGTTTTCTGGCTTGCTTATCTCACATCTCCCAGAGTAGCTGAGCCCTTTGTGCTCCAGGCCAGTTTGCAAGGAAAGGTTGATTTTCTCCACCTTTGTGAAAACAGCAGTCTCTGAGAAGGCGAACATCTCACTCATCCCTCCCGTAAAGGCCACAGAAGGTTACAAGGAGTAAGAGTATTTTCCAACATCCTTCACTGCTTAAGGAGGTGAAGGGAAAGAGCTTTTTCCCTCACATTGCAATGGGAACACGTACCGTCTCCGTGGTTACAAATCAATAAATGGCATTAAGCTTAGTATTTCAAGAGCTGCCAGAGGCATTTTGAAGGCACAGCATACACTCTCTTACATGATCTTCTTCAGGTGGTACTTCGGGTCTTCTGCACATTCACGGCGTGGTACCACTGGAGATACAGTGTCACAGCACAGTTGCTTGTCAGCTGGATCAGGAGTGGGCAGACACATTCCAAGCCTCCAGGATCGCTGGCACAAAGCGGGTGTCAGGGTGTCAGGGGTGGAGGCGCGGGCAGGACCATGCCTCCCGCTGCGGTGACTCTGGGACAAAGCCCCTTGGCAAAGCAGCAGTGACCAGCACTCTCGTTAAATCTGCAGTGCACCTATTCTGTGGTTTTGCCTGCACCTCATTGCTGACAAACATAAACATGCAGTTGTCCTTAGTACATTCTCACAAGCGTTACCATCTCATTTTATGAAGTTTAAGTGACTCACCTTGGCTAATTGGGAGTGTTCATGATGTGCAGAGATCCAGATTTCAGCTTGCTCTGGAAGTCACCTGCTTTATGCAGCATGATGGTCATTAGTCCCCTGCCCCAGTATCAGTCTTAGCTCAAAGGCAGAGCCCTGAAATACAATAACAAGCTGTGTACATTGCAGCCTTTTTTTTTTTTTTTTTTTTTAAAAAAAACTTCAGCACCTTGTTGGGCCCCAGAAGTTCTCATTTAGACCAAAGCCACTCCCCAAAATTCAGCAGCCAAAAGAGCCAAGGGATCTCCTTCTCAAAGGGCAGTGATTTCACACCCAGACTGTACACAGCTTTCATTTCAGGACAGCTCAGAAAGTGGATTCTGTGAGTCGCTCTTTTTATTCCCAACTGGGTGTTAACCTCAAAGTGGAGCCAGAGTGTTTTCAGGTCAGGTCTTTGCTACCACGTCTCCTGGCACAATTGTGTCAGACAGAGCTGTGATGAGATAAGACCCTCTGAAGGCAGAGCTGTGCCAGCAAAAGCACCTTGTGCACATGTAGGTATAAGCAGAGAAAACAGTGCTTTTGTCTGGGTAGCTTATTCTGATCAAGAAGTTGAAATTTGCTCTCTCAGCAAAAGCATGGTTTTACCGTTAGAAGCTGCACCTACCTTCAAAATGTTTGCTCTTCTGACGAGCTGTTGTAGCTATGCTGTCAAAGCTTTCCTGGCTTTCAACGACCTGAAGTATCCTGACTGTTAAATGCTCAGAGCTAATTGTTTTAGCCAAAAACCTTGAGCTTCAGTATGATGCTATGTTCAGTCCTGGGACAAAGCACTGCACAGTTTCTAGCTGTCAAATCAATAATTTAACCTTCTTCCTCATGTTTAAATTATCTTCCAATCCCTTCCTAAAAAGGAGAGGAGGAGAGGAGAGATTCAGTGCCCAAAAGATTGACTTAATCCACAGCAGCTGAAGTACAAAATGCCCCCAAACTGTATCCCTCAAAATGGTCAAACTTCTGACCTCGGCTGTGCCATCCCTGAGTCTTCCCACAGCCATGCTTTTGAAAACACTGTAGGAAAAGCCCCACACACTGAACCTAGTGCTGAACTGATGGAAGGGATGCTGCCTTGGCTCTGCTGTGCTGGCCAGACAGACCTGCTCAGGGCCAAAGTGCTTCACATGAACACTTTCTCTCTAGAGTTTCTCATTTAAACCCCCAAGAAAGAAGGCAGACATTTAAGAAATGACCAATCTGCTCCTGTGCATGGGATTGTTTCAGGTGCCCCTAATCCTCTGTGGTGGCATTACCTGCAGCCCCAACAGCCTCCAGCTGCAGTATGGGTTGATGCTGCAGCAGGAGAAGGCAAAGCACATCACCCTTCCATTTAAGAACCTGCATTCTAGGGGTTAGCAGTGAAATTTGTCTGTGAAGAGTCTCCCTGAAGACTGGATAAAACTGAGTCTCCCAGAAAGTGCTGGAGAGAAGGTGCCATTTCACACTTGTGTCATCCATGCTGTCCTTGGTAAAGTGCTTGGTGTGGCCATCACCAGCCTATCAAGATGACCAGCCTTGTGTATTTTATCTGGAATCTTGTGCAATTAGTCCCTGGGGAAAAAAAAAAAAAGCAAGCAAACTCAAGTTCTTTCTCAAGTGGGCAAGAAAGCTTCCCATAAAACTTCACACACCCAGGAACATTAATTAGCTGCAGGAACTTCTCCAGCCTGAACACAGAGGTGAACCTCAGAGATGCGTCAGTGTGTATCTGGAAATCATAGCAAGTATTACTAAGGAGAAGATGCTGAACGTTTTATGTAAAATGTAAGCAAGAAAAAAACTCCTGGCATAAGCAGGAATCATAAGGGGATCAGCTGGAGGAATCCATATAGGTTCAGTGGCAATAGCATAACTGTTGAGAAGATTGGGTGTTACAGATGGGTTTTATCTTCCCATTATTTTGAATGACTGCTGTCATTAAAAGCAGGAAAGGAAAGCCTACAGTTCAAAAGCTTTACATTCTTAAATTTCTGCAGGCCTACAAAACATTATTTTCCTCTCCCTGGAGGTCTCCCACTCACTAATTTAGCTATAAGTGTACCTTAACTGGGTTGAAATGCTCATTAGGTTCATGCACTTGTGATTTTCACAGCATTCTCTTGATTTCTGTATCAGCAGGTTATTCTCAGGGGCTGCTTTCTGGTGTACTCAGTAAAGAGTACTGCTTGATCAAGAGCTGGAGAGAAGTCCTCAGGGTGCTCGAAGTGTTTAACTTCAGACACAGGAAAAAATGTTCTGCTTAGTGATGTAAGAGTAGTCAGAAACTGGCATATAGGTAGCAGCACTAACTTACTGGTAGACCTCGCTGTGGAACGTACCAAATAAGCACATCTCCACTGAAATACACACATGAGGCTTGCACAGTGATCAGCCAGCAAGGCAAATACCTGCGTCTGTGAAGTACTGTAAAATGTTATCTGGGGAAAGCAGCCATGGTAGATGCAGCAGGACATAACAACCCTGCCAGAAACTCTGTAGCATCTGCCTAATCTGAAGGATGCTTTTCTGCTAGACATGGACAAATTAATCCCTGGTACAACTCACACTGCTGCTCACGTCTGACCACACCACTACCCTTCATCTATGCTTGACTGGTGCTGACATCCTACACCTAAGCCTCTGCACCTCAAACACTAGGATCACTCTCACTTTTCATTTCCCACTCATTCTGAGCTTGTATTGCTCTGGTTTGTCTGGCACTGTTTACATACAGACATGGCATTATTCTTTCATAATGACTTTCTCATTCCTGGGGAAATGTATGAATTTTTTCATTAATTTTTTTCTGTAGTTTCTCAGATACTCACCCAAGCACATCTCTTGGTTCAGTTTGTTCTTGGCATCAACTTCTAGCTTGCACTGTAATGAAAAACTGCCAGTGCTACTGAATACAGTTCTGCTAAACCCATGCTTGCAGGCACATCCAAAAGCCTTCTAGCAGGGCTCTCCAGCAATAGACCAGCGATAAAGTGCCTTTCTTAAACCAGTCTCAAATACTGCACCCTACCACACAGAAGTTGCTCTCTCCACAGTGCCAATGAAGAAAACAAGGGATGAAGAGGTGAAGGGTTTATCTCAGTTCACAGTGTAACACCATCCAGAGTCTCCTGAGCAAACCTCAGGGCAGGGTGGTGCATTTGCACAGTGCAGAGTAGCCTAAGAGCCACATTTGCACCCTCCCGACCCTCTGCCACAGAGTTGGCAGAAGCAGCGCAGTGCAGTGCAGTGCCAGCCCCGCTTCCAGAGCCGCAGATATCTCTGCTCAGCATGCTGCAGACACAACTGCAGTGACTTACCACAGATCACACAATGAGTCAGTGTCAAAGCTGGCTCAGTCAGCTGGCCTCGAGGCTCAGACTTTAACCAGCCTTCAGGAGAGGGAAACAAGGCCAGTTTAGACATTCCTTAAATACTAGGGCCGAAGGGGAAGGGGACAGCATCCTGCTTAGATGAGAGCAGGAACTGCATTTGCGTCTCATTTCCAAGAGCCTGAGATATATGCACCTTGTTTGTTCCTGGACTGACTTCTCTGGAAGTGCATTCTCCTGGTGACTCACTGAGGTGGGAAACAAGGCCAGGCTCCCAGGCTGAGTCACCCCGGGTGCAGAGGATAGGAAAGGATGCTTTCTGGTAGCAAGCACCAAGCAAGTTAATCACTCAAACCTACTAAAATCTTCTGCTCTAGAGAAACAAGAGGTGATAAGCAAAACCTTAGGGGCTGACTAGGATAGTCACCGAGCTGTCTTGTTGTATCAGTCAGCATGATACTTGCCATGCTCCAAGCAAAGTGACAGACAACCATAAACTGGATTATTTTATTCTGAAAGAAGAGAGAAACAGGGAAAATATAGCTCAGAGAGAGCACAAGAAGAGAGTGATCATCAATTTAGCTACTGTTAGTTTTGGTCTCCCTCTCTCTCTCTCTCTCCAGAGATCTGACACTTTAGGAATGAGGAGAATAAAGCTTTCTTTCATGGAAGATATATATTTTTTAGGTTAGAAAAAACATCAAAATTACTCTCCACATCACTTGTGAGCCCTGTCTTTTGTGTTAAGGATAAGTAGAAAAAGAGACAAAGGAGTTTTGTTTAAGTGGGGAGAAAGTCATGTCTGAGCTTGTATGGCCAATATGAACAGTTTATAAATAGAACTTTACTAAGCCTAATGAATTAAAAAATATTTACATTATTTACCTAAACCAAACAGTGCAAGGACCATTCATGAGACAAACAATGGAAAAAAAAAAATCATACATCTGCATTCTTGTCAGGTGTGAACTGAATTTCAGCTGCCAGTTAATACGAGAAATAGTTGCCTCCTCCCATTACAAAAGTGTCTGAATGGCTTGCTGATTTTATTACACAGACAAATCTAGATGTCAAAATGCTTTTCCAGATTGCATTTATTCAGCAATGTCTCTATTAAAGCTGGTTCAATGTTTTAACTTCCATCCCAGACAGAGTATTTCTTGTGGTAAGCCATTATCTGTCTTTTCCTACCTGCCAATCTACAGAAATGCGTCGCTCAGATCACAGCTAACCCTTGCAGGAGGTTAAAACCTTCACGGGAACAAAAGCACAGACACCAATATGATGTTTGCTATTTGTTCGACTTAGTAGCTGTGCAATTGCTTTATATATGCTCCTTAAAGGGATCCACCTTAAGCATGGCTGTTTTGGTAACATTCTTCTTCGGCATGTTTGATTGGTTCCCTATTCTTCCCGTACACCACGGGTCTTCCAAGCGCCTCTCCCTACAAGTATTGATTTTGACATTTTGAGAGAAACAGACTAATGCATTTGGGACGAAGAGATGAATATTTAGAATTTTCACAAAATTACATATTCCAAGAAGAGCAGCTAAGCAAATTAATATGAAAATAAGAATATAAATATTGAGCTATTTCATGGGAATGCACAAATGTTCATCCACTGTTTGGCCTGGTCAAATCAGTGCTGACCAGATGAGGAGGTGAAGGCTGGGGTGGCTGTGCAGTGACAAAACCAAACAGCACAGAAATACTGCCAGGCCGCAGGGTTGCTCCGTCTTGTGAGCTGAACCTTCTGCATTCATTTTAGGTATCCTGTTGCCACTACAGCTCCTTCACAAGGACCAGATGGACAGGCTGGATGCAACACAGGTTGCAGAAATGAGCAGGCTTGTGAATGATGAAAGGTTAAACATGTGCAAAAGAAAAAGCAAGACACAGAAAGCAGGTGAGCATAACAAAACAAAGTAAGGGTGGGTAAGCAAATGTGATTCTCAGATGAGAGTAATTATACTCTCAGTCTAATCTTGCTGAAGATGGAAGACACACCTCCTCTGGCAACTTGGCTTTGTGAAAATACCCACGGCTGTCAGGTCTCGTTGGCTAAATGCCGTCATGCAAAATGGTTTTACTAGCCCTATCAGCTCATTAATGCACAATTTGCTAATGCACAGGCATGAGGGCCAGGATCCTGCATCAGCGATCCTGTTGTGGCGATTTTGTCTTTGTGCCAGAAACTTCTGAGAACATGTTTAAAGAGACAGTTCTCCTTTAATTCAGGTAACAGTGCACCATGCACTGCAGGCTTCATCGAGACCTCCAAAAGCTGAATTTCAGTGCGAACAGCTATGTCCATCTTCTATAAAAATGTCTTTGGTTCCTAAAATAAAGATTTTATATTAAAAAGGTTCTTAAAGAAAGTCTCAGATTGAAGTGATCGAAGTTGTTGTAATTTCTTCTTAACATCAGTGGGCATTTTTTTCTAATCCTGGGCTCAGTAAAGACCTTTTTAGGCATTTCCAAATAACTTACTCTCCAGTTCCCCTTACTCAGATGGCTTCTTGTATAACTGCATACCGCACTGCTATATTTTTACATAAACCACCTTAAAATTCAAACAAAAATATCAGGAAGTTCAGATATGAGGCCTCTAATTCCTATACAGAACACATGCAAGGAACATTCAAAGTAAGTTTCAATCCATTTTAGACATCTGAAGAATGATGTTAGCACCTTTAAGGTTAAACAGGAGCCAGAAGTAACCGGTATCTTTTGGTCGAGAGTTTTGCAAACATAAATGTTCCCCTTCATCTTTGGAAATCGGGACTTTAGACTGCATGATATTTTAAAATCTTGTTTTCTTTTTAAGTATATACATATACTTTTACAAATACATAAGTAAAAGCTTGAGCTGGATTCATTAATTTAATAGCCTACTTAAGATGTAACCTATTTAAAATAAAGCATGAAATTCTTACACTGGGTATTAAACCATAAGTTTAATATGTATTTTTTTAAATAAATGAAATAAAATTCAAGGTGAAAACCATAAATGTTTGCTGTTAAAGTTTTAAAGAACATAAAATCACCAAACTGATGGAATTACCATCTGAACATCTGGAACTAGAATTGGCTGAACTAAACAAGCTTTTGATAAAAGTGATTTTTCTACATGTGCAGAAAGAATATTGGAACTGAACAAATTAAATAATCCGAAACAGAAATAGCAATAAGTTCAAAGTTCAGAAACTAACTGGGAACTAAACACCAAAAAGCTTGTGTTCCTCGCTAAACTGTGAATAAAAGTGAGGAATGAAAGCAGCATCTCTCTTTGTGCCTACATTTTGAGGGACACTGTGATCAGCAGCAAGCACTTTGATTCACTAGCTGCAAACAATCTCAATCAGTTATGTTTTAATGAAAAATTATGAGCTTTGCATGGTTTCTTCTGTGGACAGCATGCTTGCAACAGTCTGTGTGGTTGGATAAAAATACTAAAGGAGAGAGGGTATTTGAACAGCATGTGCATACTGAAAACTGACTGAGCCGTGAACTGAGCCAGATGGTGAACATGTGGGCACCCATCCAAGCTGCTCGGAA